TCACGCTTCAAGCTCTGGGAAGTTGATCGACGTGGTTCCAACGTTTTCTGTGGTTGCGCAGAGTCACCTGCTAGACATTGCAGAATGAAAGCTGTTGGCGGGCTTGTGTTTTGAACAGGCTGGTCGTGGGCGTGAAGGTGCTCAAGGAACTCGGGAAATATTGCACCGAACGGCGGCTCTGCACATAGTTTACGTTGCTCGGCGAAGATATTTAAGCGTGTTGCGCCGGCCCGGAACTTAAGTTGCCGTGCGCCCAATGAAGAAGAAGACATAGGGAAGGCCGACGCCCCCAGCGAAAGCCTTGCGAAGGTCAGTTTGTCTTTTCCATTGAAGGGCATGTTGAGGTTTAAATGGTCAGGAGCGTTCGCGTGGCTTGCACGCAACATCATCTTTGAGCCTCAGACTTTGCTGAAGGTTTTGAAGTTGAACAGGGCGCGATATAGTTTGCTTGCCCGCTGGAGACCAACATCAGCTTGCAATGTCATGCCCTCTTCTCATGCCCGTCGAAATCTTTGAAAGCTCAGGATCATCGAGGCTTCTTTCGAGGCCCGTCGAGAAGTCTGAAATCAAAACTTGCGGCAGCCAGAATGGCTTGCAGGATCATCTTAAGCGTTCGAGGCCCCTTCGAGGTCCGTCGTGATGTTTTGAGTAGAGAATGAAGAGGACTTGGAGCCAGCTGCGGCTTAAAATTCTTTTCACATATGCTCCGAAAGAAGAGAGGTAGCCAGGGTTCGTCCGGGCTCGAGGCCTCGGGGGACCCCTTTAATAGTATTATAAGCCCGGGTCCCCGGGGCCTCGTAATCTTGCAAGCTAAAGGGGTTTTGGGATTTTGCCGAGGCCTCGCGAGGCCTCGAAAGGCCTCGAAACCCCATGACTGAGGCCTCGGGAGGCCTCGGAAGGCCTCGAACCCCCGCAAGGTGCGGCCTCAGAGGCCTTGCAATGTCGTGTGCACATGTTTGCAAAAGTTGCTAGTTTGCGCGACTCCAAATGTGGGGTCGAAAAATCTGAACAATTCGGGCTTCGCGTGCGTGGGCCTCCCCTGTACAAGCTTTGCAGGGCACGGTTCCCACACAACATGCCACTTGCGTCCCGATTCCTTGTGCAACACAGACGAGTCATCTGAGTTTGGAGCATAGCGTGTCCTGATGTTCCTGCGCACGATGGTGTTGATGTTGGAACGCAGATGGTGGCCGTGGATCCACAGGACGTGATGCCACATCGGCGCCTGCATTGGGTTTACCCGTGCAGACACTGTCTACACCTCCCTCTTCAATGCAAAGGGAAGTAGGCGACATAGCATTGTGTAGTCAGAAGAAAATAAGGGTGCGCCAGCCGTATAAGGAATTTCGACCAAACATGGAAATGTCTGTACACCTTCGCGAAGCATGCTCTGCGGAAGACCGATAGAAAGTTGCGTGGGGAATTGGCCAAGAAGACCAAGAAGTTGGACTCGCAAGTTAGTGGGAACCGCAGGAAGATTTCCGACTGGGACACGGGTCATGAACAAATATCTAGTACTTGTGCATGTATATATGTTTATGCACATGTATACATGCATATGTATTACATTTTATTTCAATATATTGCACATATAAGATTATATATTTATATATATATGTATCCGTCGAGGCCTCGGACCGAAGGTGTTTAGGTTGTAAGTACAGAAGCCCCCCATAATCCCCAAAGCCAACCACATGTTGGCCCGTTGTTGCCTGGAATGGAAACATATCTTCAAAAAAAATACAGACATGTGTAGAAAAATCGTGCCGGACGAACCTAGAACAATTGGGCCTGGTACACCTCCATCCATCCGTATCTGGCCTCTTGGCGGTCGCGTCGCATGAGCTCAGATTTGCGGATTTGGTTTTTTGAATTACAAACTACTTTGTCTTCTGTGCTTTTTCAAATGACGGCTCGGCTGTTTTTTTCTCTTTCTCGAAATCTCTCCCGACTGAACCTTTATTACAATGGGGTTAAGTAAAAGTCCAATATTTTTTTATTCATGAATTTTACGTGTCAATAAAAAATTGTATGGTTTACTTACGCGCGCTGAGAACATCATTGCGGGGTTATGTTATGGCCTTTCTGCAGCGTTGAAATAAATTTACTCTGTTTTATATTATTAATATATTGTGGACACGTCGCAGAAAGTCAGACTTTACAACGCATTTTCCCGACTTTACCCCTTAAAACGCGACATCACAGAATCCGCTGCAAACATAAAGTCCAACAAGTCTGAAAAAAGAAAAAACCTAAGAAGTTTTCTTGAAAACACATTGGACTTTGCGATTTATCGCGTTCTAAGGGGAACTGGACCATAAAGTTGGCATTGTGGTACATCGCGGACTTTATGAAATGCTGCGTTCTAAGGGGAATTCGACCATAAAGTTGGTTTCTCTTCGCATCTTCCACTGCATGACATAATGCGCCGGTTCTAAGGTAAATTCACCATAAATTTGGCCCTTTTCGCATTGTCCGTTTGTTGGCTTGCTGCGCTTTTCGGAAGACCCAAACCTCTACCGTTCCAAATGGAATTACAAGTCTCTGCTCCACTTCTGTATTTTTGAAGAAGTGGAAACTTTTCAAGTTTTTAATTTTGGGAACAAACAAGAAGGAGAGAAATGGAATTTAGATCAATTTCTACTTCTTTGATTTTAAATAAGCTCTTAAGGAATTCCAACTTTGTAACTCAAAAATGTTTCGACACAGCATGGTCGGCGTTTTTCTTGTCAATAAGCCATTGTTTGGTCAAGGCACGTCCAGGGCGAAGGCCGCGGCGTGTCTCACGGGCGGCGCAAGCCAAGGGTATGGCGCTTCCCGAAATGTCAGAGTTGCCTGCGATGGCACAGCTCGCTCGCTCAGCGTTTAAGAAGTAGTAGTGGTCGTGGTAGTGGTAGTGGTTAGTGGTTCGTGGTTTGTTGTTAGTGGTAGTGGATGTGGTTGGTGGTTAGTGGTTGGTGGTCAGTAGTTTGTGGTACGTGGTTCGCGGTTAGGTGTCAGCCGTTAGTGGTTAGTCATTGGTGGGTCGTCGTTAGTGGTTAGTGGTGGTCGTCGTGGTCGTCGTGGTCGTCGTGGTCGTCGTGGTCGTCGTGTTCGTGGTCGTGGTCGTGGTCGTAGTAGGGTAGCGGTAGCGGTAGCGGTAGTGGCAGCGGTAGTTGAGGGCCCCCCCTCGTAATGGTACTGGGGGGGGGGGGGGCTACTTTGAGTGCCACTTATTTCCGGGACCTATTTTGTCAGGGTGGGGGGGGGGAAGAAATAGGTACCGGAGTGGTGCCTGGGAGTCGGCTGGGCACGACGCGGCTCCTGGAAGTGTTGGATCCTTTTTGTAGCGCGTGCATCTTCAGAACCTGTGCTCATGTCAGAGTGGTCCCCCCCCCCCCAACATAAAAAAAAAAACGGAAAAGGTACGGGTACCTATTTTTTAGGGGGGGAGGGGGGGGGGACTCCCCCCCCCCCTCGAAGGGGTGGCCCTGGTAGTTGTAGTGCATATACTTCTTGTTCGAGATGTCAAATATCTTCCACCCCCCTCGTCTCTTGCTTTTCTTGTGTTTCATGCTTCGAGAGTTGAGAGTATTCTTCACGAATCGGAGTCGTAGAAGAGGTGGTCGCAGAGATCGTTTCAAAATTCCACACCCTTTTATTTCTTGTGTTTCATTCTTCGAGAATCGGAGTTAGGAGAAGTGGTGGTAGAAAAAACGAATTATTCCAATTCCACCCGCTCACGTCTCTTGTTTTGTTTCTTGTGTTTCATTCTTCGAGAATTAGAGAGGTGGCTAGTATTCTCCAAGAGTCGTAGGAGACGCGGTCGCAGAGAATTATTATAAATTCCACCACCCCCAGTTTTTTGTTTTGTTTCTTGTGTTTCATTCTTCGAGAATCGTCAGAAGTTTAAACAGCTTTCGCCCGTGTTTCGTTTCAAATTTTTAGTTTGCTCATAGGTTATTGAATAGGTCACGACCAGCAAGTTCTGGCACTCACGGGAACATGCGACAGCATGCGACAGCCCGCGCGCTGGTCTGTATGAGCTCCACTCATTTCGCAAAGCAAAATTCGTATCTATTTCCCACATACCCCATAAAAAACGCACGTGCAAGTTGGCATCTCGCTGAGCGGAACTGTTGGAACACCTCGGGAACGCCTTCCGCCTCAAAATTGGCCGTACTGTAAGTATGCCGATTAAAAGCGTGGGTCGGCCCATCTGGCCGCATGTGTGTGTAAACGGTAACAAACATCGGTGATGGTTTGCGTACTCCGTTTGGGTTTGGGCGAAAGACTTGCAACAAAAACTTGCATAGGGGCTTCTTCTTGCACATAACCTGTTCTTACAACGGTGGTCGAAACGTCGGCGGCCGATTTGACTCGAAGTTCCGCTGGATTGCCAATGACTGCATGAATGAACGAACGTAAAATGCAATTGTGCAGGAAAGGTTCGCATTCTCAACGTTCAAGTTTGATTCTGGCTTCAATCATGAATACTTGCTTACGTTCAACCGCACTGGAACCCACTGCCGCAACCAGGCTTGGAAATGCTGGGTTCTGCATGGGCGTTGGGAGAGCACAAACGGAAGTGCAACATTGTAAGATCACTCGTAGTTTTCAAAATGGTAGCACCAGCTGCGTGCCTCCACCATGGAAATGTGCAGAAATTCATGATGCCATTTCAGGCCCGAAAGGGCTGTTTCAAGGCCGCAGTCGGGCCCCGCACCACCGTCAGTTTGGCGGGCTTGGCGGGGCTTGGCAGGCTGGGTTTGACAGCTGTCGGCATTGTCGGTGTGTCTGTATTTTTGAGACGCAAGACTGATGATGTTCCTCAAAAGCTTGATGCTGCACAGATGGCCTGTCATCTGCCCCTGATGGCTGGCAGTGCGCCAAGACGCATTGCATCACGCTTCCAGGCACGTGTTTGGTTTGTTGCCCCAGTTTCCGGTTTCAATGCTAACTTGAAAGGTATGTAGCGTGGAAACGGCGCATATGGGATGTCCAGTGACTCCGAGCAGGTAATGTGGTTGGCGGTCCTCATGCAACGAAGTATTGCAATGGATGCCAGTGACGCCCGTGCACAGCACCAGGAGATGATTCGGTATGACAGATGCTTTCTAATTTTGGTTGTCAGGTTGTGAGTTGTTTCAGAGTTGTCGTTATTGTGTCCAATTGTGTGCAATGCAGGACATTGACGTGAACTATGTCACGGAAATGCTGGACAAGCTGGAGGTTGAGTTGTTCAAACGCTGAAGCAATGCATTGCTGTCAACATGGACATGATTTTGCTGAGCAGGTCTTTATCAAGAAGCAGAGTTATGTCACACACGAGCATTTCAACAGCGAGTTGAAACGGCTCCGGGGAACAATGGCAACGTTGGACGATTCTTGGCACGTGTAGTGTTGCCGACAACAGAATTCTCATTTTGTTTTATGTTTTTTTGCTGTCAAGCAGCCCCCTTAGGATTCAGCAGATCTCAAAATCCTCCAGGGCGTGGTGAAGGGCACTGAGATGGAAAGGCAACATTATTTGGTCAAACACTCTGAGCGTGCAGGTGGTTCATTTTTTGCCATGATGCTTCTTGTAGCAGGATGGAGGCCGAAGCAGCTTCTTTGGAAGCTGTGCAGTACTATCATACCGTGCGTGCCGCGTCGGGATCCACAGGCGGGGTCCTAAGCTGTTTTCAACCTTAGAGCACGGATGTCAGCTGGTTTACCAATCGACTTTTGAAGAGGTGGGGCCCCAAGCTGTGACTTTCTGACGTGTGGGAATCACGCAGTTTGCAAGCCTGGAACTAAGAGAATCAGGTGTGGTCTCTGAATCACCGCCACCTGCACAAAAATCCGATGTCAGGTCTGAGCATGACAGAGCCTTCTGTGAATGCGTGCCTTGACGGCAGGAATCAAATTAGGCATCTTGTGTTTGGCAAACCTTGGCATCTTTACCGAAATTGCGGTCTCGGTTCCGAGGTTCCCTGCTTTAGTGGGGATGGCTTCACATGTCGGCCCTCCAAGTGCACTGCAGACGTTGTATATTCTCCACAGTTTCTTGAATGCAGCTAGGTGCACCTGGCAACACCTAGCAGCCTAACAATCCTGTAACATGAACGTCCTTATTGGTCCGAGGCTTATCGTCCCTTATTCATCAAGCGGAACCAAGCCGGACCCAGTCATGGCCCGCGATGTTAGCCGGAGGCTTTTGATTGACAAGTGCCGCGAGTGAGTGGATTCAAGCAAGATTTTTCTTGGCAGTTGCTGATGGTTGTCCAAGGTCTGTCTCTCATTGGACGAGATGGCTCCTCGTCCTACAACTGAAATCCTAGCAAAGTGCTGGTTTGGTTTTCCAGATAAGACCGGACCAAGACGTTGTGACTATAGCTTATGCCGTCACCAATCGCATACCAAGCGCCACTAGGCTTGGTGGTGGCCATTCGAGATGAGAGCCTTGGCTCTACGTGGATAGGCAGTTCAGGGACAAGTTTATATGCCCAAAATGCGAATCGTTTAATTTAAGCACGCAGCATACGATTTTGTTTTTCAAGTTTTGTTTGTTTTTGCAGACATCAAAGTCAGGCAGCGTGGAAATCAGGGCTTCCTTAGCATTGGACGGGTGAAGTCCAGCGAGATTATGTGGGGAGAGTGGAAACTCTTCTCTTCAAAGTCCCAGGCCTTTGAGCCCACAGTGGCTTCTCGGCCAGCTGGTTTCAGCTACAATTCAGCATGTTTAATGCAGACCAAGCGCGCCATGTGTCCGCCTTCCTGGCATCTCTGGGCAATGTTAAGGTTGGAATTGGTGAACGCATGCTTATCGCATACAGAGATTCGGAGGAAAAAGGCGCAGGCAGACGAAACAAGACATGTGACGTTGTCAATACCTTCCTGCCCTGTATGCTTCTGACCTTGATACGTCTGACCCAAGACGATGGCATTCAAGCAGGTTATCTGGTGAGCGGTCAGCTCGACAGCACAGACCTCACCGGCTTCAAGGACGCGTTCTTATTGTTTGAGCCGCTCTATCCATTGCCGTGACGCCATGCACTTGACGCCACCTTTCCTGGAGATGCCATTTGCTTTGGAGCGTTGTCAGGTAGAGATCGGGCAGCCGTACTTGTTGCACAAGAGGTTGCAGCAGTTTCTAGTTTGCAGTGATCCCACATCCCCAGCAACCCAAAGCCCGTGTCAGAGCTCATCCGGCAAAGGGACGGTTAAGACCAGGTTTTGCAAGATAAGGCATCATACTGAGCGAATCATTAAAGCCCAGATGAGGCGAGTTGCGCTGGTGGCATTGTCAGCTTCTCGTGCAGTATGTCTGCATTCAGCTGTCAGTGACAAGGCTGCAGGCGCGATCACCGCAAGCTGATGTTGACTTGGACTACGTACTTTATGCTTTGTGTTCTTGAGGAGTTTGTCTTGGAGTCGCTGTTAAGCCAATACCCCATTTTGATACTTCGTTCTGGCGGGAACTAGGCATGTTTGCAGAATGAGCTCAGGACATCGAAACAAGACACAAGCTCGAGTGTTTGTGGTGTTGCTTTTGTTGGAGGAAAACAAAGAATGCCGCTTGCCAGGCAACGCTGTGCTTGTACAAGTACACGCAGGAGGTCTCAGCTTACTTGGTAAATATCATTTTGGAGCTTCTATGCAGCAGTGGAAGACTGTGTGCCATGGAGTTTTGTATGCATAGGAACAAGGTTTGTGCGAGTTTGGTTCCGAGTTCCAGCAAAGGGCGAGGCTCCGATTTCTCACATCGCTTCAACGAAGCTGAGCGAGGACTTCACGTGCGCATGCCCTTGTTTGCCCTTGTTTTGCACACCGTGGCATGTTCGGAAATAGGCCACTTGCCATAGATTGCCATAGCAAGTGCTTGTGGCAGGATTCTTTTGTGGTCGCCTACCGTCAGCAACCTCCAGATAGCCACGAGATTGGCCTCACATCCAAGGATGTCAAACAATTCCCGCAGCACATCGCAGATATCACAGCACTGTGTTTTTTTCTGATGGTGCATGCTGCATGTCCCAACCATTCCCAACCCACACTTACCGTGTTCGTTCTTTGGAAGGAGCTATCTGCTACGTGGATGAGAGTTTCCGATGCTGGGCAAGTATGGATGCCACCCTTGATAGCACTTGATCATCATGTTGCCATCTGTTGCAGTCTCCCAAGCCAGCCCATGTGCACGAAAGCAAGGATGATGATTTTCTCATCGTGAGCCCTCATCAGTTTACGCTGGAGCCAGAGCGTCCAGACATGTATGGCCGGGACATTGTGGTGGACCCAGAATGCGCAGTAATGCTCGTTTTTGCAGGAAGTCATCTTGGATGCGAAAGGGCCGCGTTGACGAGAATGGGTGTGCAGATAGCTATTCGACATGTCGAGAACAGCATTGCAGGTTGCATACAGCACTTACTCACGTAGTGTAAACCAAGATACCACGTGGCTCCGCATGAGACTCTGTCCCGCCGAGGCCTTGGTGTCTCAGAACCTGTTCGCTTACTCGTATTATTCTGGCGCGGAAAGGAAAACCAAGATGTCATTGGTTCGGGTGGATCCACTTTCGCATCAGATGAAAGCAGTTGGCGATCCCACAGCAGCTCTACTGCACGAAAGGCATGCCCGGCGCGATCCACATCCGTCGTGTCGCTTCACTCCAGCAAAGGTCCTCAGTACTGGCTACAGCTCCTTTGTGGGAGCCGTATCGCTTCCGTCTGGATCGGAGACGCCGAGCACGTTCACCTACATACAGCCTGCGGGAGACAAGAGTGTTGCAAAGGCTCAGCGGGTATCAGCGGGTTTGGGTGGGAAGTGAAGCATGACCTCTTGAGCAACAGGTATGCGGTGTGAGCTCCGAGGGCCGTATATCTGCTTGCAAAGATGTGAGCTGGGCAGAGGCGGTGTTGACCGACATGTTTGTGCAGCACTTGTGTGCATTCTTTCTTCTCCTAATGTCTCAAAGGTGGGAGATGTCATTTTGTCAGATGTTTATTTATCTTTGTTCTTCATCTTTTTTGTTCTCACTGATGGCGCAGGGGGAGTTCGATGCTGCCACGGCCATCAAGCTGCCGGACGGCCGTTTGCTCTTCGCTTTCCAGAAAGGAGGAGAAACGACCACTTTTTCGCTTGTGTTCAATCTGTTCATGTCTGCAGAGAGTCACTTAAACGTCTTTGAACCACCGGTTGTTTTTTTGTTGCGTTTCTTCCTAACTCTGCTTCGCTTCACTTCGCTCCACCTCACGGCTCTTCTTTCATGGTGCTCCGTTTGTCATGTTGTGAGCTGCGCACCGTGAGGAACCGTTCAGACTCGCTTCTTGTCGGCTGAGGAAGCATCTGCGCAGGACTCACATGGACTCGCCAATGTAGCTTTGTGGTGCGGCTTTGTGCGGCTTTTGTGCTGCAGAGCAAAACTGTGAAGTTCTGGAGTGCTTCTTACCATTTCTTCAGCATGTGTCCAGACACTTAGCAGGACATCAGCATGGCGGTCGTGTGAGTGCCTTCCAGTGTTTTGTTTGTCTGTTAGATAGGTGTGCCGACTTGAAAATCAATGTCGATGTTTCACGTCCACGCTAGATTGCCCCCGAACGTTCCCCAGCTAACATGGACGGAGAACATATACCGACAGTATGAATGTAGATTCCGCAATCTTAGAGTGCCAGTATGGTCAATGTCGGAGCGCGGCCATGCTGTGTTGAGGAAGTCGATCTCCAAGAGCACCAAAACGGAGTCTTCGCGAAAGCGGTGCGAAAGCCCTTTTGCATGCCTTTGCTCTTGCTCTGTGGGCCCGGGCAGGTGAAGCGTCAGCTAGACATGGGGGCTTGGATCCAGTGTTGCCGGGCTTTCAGACCTTGGTTATGCTTGTTTCGAGTGCATCCGAGAAATCCGGCATTCCCCCCGTGCAATTCGGAGCTGAGAGCTTTTGCCGGGGTTGAGTTGGACGCGACGTCCAAATGAACAGCAATTTCCCTTCAATCTGGCAAACGGAGGTACACGCCCATTTCAGCTTTCTGATTCAGCTTGGGTTCACCCGCCCAGGGACTTGCAAGCCCGGGGCCGGGCAATAACAAATCGGCACCCTCGTGCCCGCAGTGCTCAGTCAGCCGACGAAGAGGATTCAACGCAATAACTTACTTAGCAGCATGTGAAGCAGACAGCATACAGACGTGCTACAGCACGCTCTGACATTCAACAGGTGTGGAACCCTCGGGGATAATTGGGCATGTGTGATGAAGAAGCCCGCCTCGACATTGGCCAGCTGCAAGTGTGGTGAGCCCTCCCTGCTCGAACGTAGCGAATGTGCGTCCGAGCTTTGCAAACAAAGCTGTGCCGGCACGATGGGTCGCAGGTACTTTGACGGCGTCCATCAAAGACTCTGCACAGCGGCAGCTGGAGAAAGCCATCTTGAGGTGATGGAGCTCTAGATCAGTGAGAAATTTGAGCTTGGAGCGAGCCATGTTTTTGACTGTGCAGCATGAGCTACAATATCCTTGAGGCAATGTGCAGCTGGTCGAGATCGTCTAGATAGAAGGCGTGGCCAAAGTTTTCAGTCGTCTTCTTGGAGAAACGAGAATGCCGGCCTGACAGGATGGCGAAGGGTGTGCAGATCACCCCTGTGAGACCCAGCTCTTGCAAGGTGAGGGCACCCGACCCTTTTTGCCGAGCCTTTTTTTTCCCGCTTGTCACCAGGACTTCCCACGAAAGTGGTTCAGACGCGACGGCAGGCGAAGGACACTCCGAGGTTCGGCAGAATGGTGCGAAGGGTTCAGCAACGTTTAGCAAGTTTAACCCGTTCTTTTGAGCTTTGGGCCACTTGGCGATACTTGGCGGCTCAGACGCTAGGCGTAGCAACAGCAGATGACAGCCAGTTGGACAGGTACATACCCCCGAAGGCGGATGGAACACGGAGCCTGCCTCGCCTGTTAGCAGATGTCGGCTGCCTTTCTGCGTTGTTGAATGATTTGAATGTCTTTTTCCGTGGAGGAATGCTTTTCCTACATGGCGGCAGCTACGTGGTCTACGCCCCTCAGGATGCTGTGTATCGCTCACTGGCCTCGCGATTGGCTCTTCGATGCGGTGCGCCGGTGTTCACACGTTGTACAGTTTACAGCATCGTGCCGTTCTCGGTATATCTGAGTGTGCCACATCGCAGGGCTATGTGTACTCTCCGTTGACTACCGACTTGCTCCTGAGCATTTATTCCCGGCTGCATATGAGGCCAGGACAATCGTGGCTCCTGCTCAGTTGCGGATGTGAGGGGTTGGGGCCTGGATGTGGGAAAGCCACAGTCACACTGCTGAGGGCGTGTGCGGTTTACAGGGAATTCTTTTGTCGTTGACTGTTGTCGTATCTCTCGTTGTGTTGTTATGACAGAGCTCCAGGCTCGAAAGAAAAGAAAACTTAGAGAGATGAAGTCAGAAGTACAGAAAGACAAAAAGAAGGTCAGAAAGACAGAAAGAAGGTTCCCCCACCAGTCCTCCCACAAAAGCCAAGCCGCTAGATTGTTTCAAAGGCCGCGCACGTTTGCATCAGCCCCGCCGAGCAGTGTGTTTTTGTCTGACGCAAGATGTTTGAGCATTTTGAACCCAATCAAGCATTCAAGGTAGCTGTAATTGGCGGTGAGGGTTGTTGTATTGCCGTGATAAACTCGTTAGAGTTGCATATTCCGGCAGCCGAAGGTTCGCGAACCTCATTGCGTGCACTGCGCTGCTTTATGCTCTTCTTCTTCTTCTGCTTCAAAAAATAGTACAGTACCCTTGGTCTTTGTCGGCTGGAGTTTGCACCTGCTGCTATGCCTGTATGATGCTTCTCGTGTCCCCTAAACGCAACCAACCAGTTCCAATGGGACGCAGGATGCATGTGAAGCTGTGAAGTGGATCTCTCAGCATGGACCACCTGACGACGAAGGCGCAGAGCCTGTGAGAATTGGCGCAGCCAGAAATTGTAGTAAATCGTACATGAACAATCTGAGTTAGTTACTCTGACAGGTGGTGCTAGTGTCACGAAGCCTGCCAAAGATGTTTTTGCCGGACACTTGGTCATCGAGAGTGTGCGATTCATCCTTACCAAAGGTGATTTGTTTACAACAGGTTCGAGAGACTGTGATAGTGCCCCGAGTCGAATAAGGAAGGCAAGTCATTAGGTTTTTGTGTGATGTTAACATCACAAGCGCTGGACTTGCCCGTGGAAATACAAAAAGCGCCGCCCTAAGGGCCTGTATTTCACGTGGTTACGGTTTTTAGGCTTGTACGTGTGATTCTGTATGCTTTCCTTGCAAGTTAAGGTTGAGCGAGTTCTCACAAGACTTCACACATGGAACCCCCTCCCTTTCCCCACCAAGACTTGTTTGCTTACAGTATTCTTCACTGGATCGTTACGTGAAGGGATCCTTTCTTTTGGCATAAAAGATGGAGGGTGCATGGCAGAATTCAATTCGGGCAGAAACTGGACATCAAATTCAACGCGCATCTTTCATTAGTCCGAAGTATAAACCCAACAAACCTGGGTCTACATTAGACATTGCCTTAGAGGGAACGGTCACTTCTCTAATTTGCCTAACCAAAACCTTAAACTATCCTAAACCCAAGACTTCCCAACGATTGTCGAGTTTTGATAAGAAATACAATTAAACATGTACCATGGAAACAAAATTCTTAGACTGGTTCTTGGGTCTGTGTGGGGTTTGAAGGGCTGTTCTTTGCATGATGTGCATGGTGCTTAATGGTGCTTACACAAGCAAAAATATCATGCATCCTTGAAGGCTGGTGTTGGGCGCTTTGTTGGGTCCGTGCTGCAAAATTTGACTTGATGGAAGCCGTTTCTTTGCATGATTTTACCCAACCCGTATCGTTCGCCGTTTCTTGAGAGCATCTTTTTTGGCGCCAGGGCTTACAACATGAAAAGCGTTGAGGTTAACGGTTAACACCCTTCCAGGCTTGCAACTCGAACCAACGCCCGCTGTGTCTGTGTGTGTGGAGTCAAGAAAGTGGTTCCTGTGGTGTGGACCGGTTGTGCAGTCAACAAGTGGTTCTTCAGTGTGCTCGGTCGGCATGATCTTGTTGTGTGCGTCGACACGGTGCTTTTTTAGCCTCTCTCACCCATCCCACCTTCCTTGTGCGTGGGCGTCAGTCAAGAAAGATGGGGGGACGTTAGGAACCCTCCCCCCCAAGCCCTTTAGAATGGTTTCTACAGCGCCTGTGGGTACCACAACAGCAGCCCTGCGTGCCGTTTGAGAAGCCAGATGCTTTGGTAGGTGTGTGGCGACAGTGCTGGAGGCTTCGCGGCTTCGCAATCTTGGCACAAGGCTGCCTGAGATGCGGGTTGTTTGCGAATGTGCTGGAGGAGGCTTGGCACTGGCGGTTTCGAACTCGATGTTAAGTTAATGCAGCAGTCGGCACAGATATTGCAACGAGTTGTTGACTTTTTCTTTCGAGTTTTCATGGTTGGCCGAGGCTTGCATGTCCCAGCCAAAATCGATTCGTCAAAGCCTGCGAGGAGTCATTGGGCAAGTGCCTCAGAAGATCATCTCAGATAAGTAACCAATGTCAGGCAGGACATCTGAAGGTCCCATACGGCGTTTTGCCAGCACAAGGTGGATCTAGGACGGAACTGAAGGCAGGCACTTGTGAACGGACAGAAAGCAACTGTTTTCCGGCTTGCAAGTGTATCTATTTGCTGGCCTAAAAACATCAGACCGCTGCATGGCGTCAAAGCCTGAAAGGAGAGGTGGATCTAGCTTCCGGTTCAACGTGTACGGTTTTGGATGTCAGCGAAAATTGAGTTAATTCCTTCCGAAGTCTTCAGACGAAATACTGCGTCTGCATGTCCAGTGCCCAGAACGAACACTGCTAGAATACATGCTCCTTGCGCGCCTCGTGAAGTCGTTCGTTAGCTTGGAGCATCCTTGTGATACAGAGCACCTCTTGCCGCTTTGCAGTTTTTTCATCCTTGTTTTCTGCAAAGGCTCTCAGCTTGGACGGATATGACGGCGTCCACGCCAAGCTACGACACGCGCCAGTGGTGTGCAGATACATGTTCAGGTGACCGGCCTTGGTTTCAAAGTTCACCAGGTGTCTTTGACTGGTCCAAGTGAGGTGATGCCACCAACGCAGGTGTGGACCGCAAAAGCGGCAGAGAAGAAGCAGAGGGCTACCTGGGACGTGCCTTTGGCTACAGTATTGGACCTTTCATGTGCCGGCACATTGGCTTGGTGTTGGTCGGACAGTGACAGGCAGGGGAGTTGAACGCCATGGCGCCAGACCTGGCAAAGAGGTTTCCTTCTAGCTATTGCGTGCTTTTACCTAGAGTAGACTGTAGGTCGTGATTGGCGTGCTAGCCCTTTCTTCGCATCGTCGGCCCGGCTCCGCTCCTTGCCCCCGGTCCTGCTGCAGGCCCGTCTTCACTTCGTTGCACGCAGTTTTGGATAGCGTTGTCCACGTGAGCGGCAGGTGGGTGATTTCGAGCTGATTTTGGATGAATCTGTTTGGTCCTCAGCCTATTGCAATGGCGCAGCCGTAAGTGATGTATGATGTATGTAACAATGTGCTTTTCAGGTCCTCCTGCAGCAGCGACTAAAGAAGCTTGGCCATCCACCTGGTGAGCAGGACATAGTAGGACTATGTGCAACGTTGCAGAATGTTGCAGAGATGAACTGGGCAATGCAAGCAAACGATGATGCTTGCTGCAACGTGCCGAGGTCATGCAGATGCAGACGTAACTGTGTATCCTCGAATGTACCTACCTCATTGAGTCTCATTGCGATAGTCGTGGGGGTGCCTTGCAGCGAACATTTCGACATCTTTCGATGGTAACTGTCAGGGTTGCCGTGGGTACTTAGCAACAGCTTGATGTCAAAGCTCAGTTGTAAGGGCCATCGTACGCTTTCACTGTCATTCTTGGTACGAGGTGGCATTGCTGGCATCAGTATGAGGAGGGCAGTGGTGTGGCTCCTGGCGGGTCGTGGCAGCTGTTGTGGCTGTGTAGCGCTTGGGCAATTTGATGCGGGGTGAAACATCACATAGCACGTTGTAATGGGTAGCACTTGATGCCAGCTTACCTAAATAGTTGCAACCGGAATGTCCGGCTCATGCGTCCGTTGCTCCTGCGCAGTCGGTGCGCATGTTGTCAACTGGAACGTGGACGAATCTCCAGCGTGGAAACATCTCTCTGATTATATATCAGAATATATATATATATATGTATATTGCGATGCTACCAAAATCACTAAATCACATTGACAGCTTGAGCCAGCTAGCAACAGCAACTCAGGCCTGGAGCAACCGCTGTTCCAAGCTCGAAAAGCTCTTCGCGACCTCGCAAGCTGGGTGTGAAGCCTAGTTTGGCCACGCTTACTATGTGAAGTTTCATGAAGGTTCATGAAGGTTGTTTTGGCTTGTTGTAGCTGCCTTCAGGTTCAGGCCCACAAGGGGTGACCTGATGGGAACCTTCCGCTGCAAAGCTTCTGCGGTTGCGGTGAAATTGCGGACTCTGCGTGTTTCGGCTTTGCTATACGCACAGATCCAATCACTGCATCTCCACCTCTTGCTGGCATTTCTGGCCTGCAGTTTTGAAGCTCTGTCTTGGATGACCCAATGGAGTGTCATGTCAGACTGTCAGATCTCGTACATGATTAATGTAACCTGCAAGTTTATAACTTTGCCATACTTTGCCTCAGCAGCATGGGCCGCTGTCGGAAGTGCTGCTGTTGCCTGTGCTGCCCCTGCTGCTTCTTCCTCGGCACACTACCAGCGATTCTTTTGCCCATACCTCAGCGCACCACGTAGCACACCATTTAGCTCGCTGTCGTTGTCAGAGTTGTGTGCCGGCTTCTCTTCATGACACAGGATGACACAGGCTTACATGGTCACGCCTTCTGTGGCCCCATGGTCTAGCTGAGTCTAGCTTCCCCCGTCAGGTGAGGTTCTTGAGGACCGGGAGTAACTTGCTTCAGGCTTTTTGGTTGGGGGCCTTGTTAGAAGGCTTATTTCCGAAGGGTGCGGGTTATACATGTAGGGTGTAGGGTGTAGGGTTTAAAGTCCTTTGGGCTTATATGAGTTTATCGGTTTTTTATGGGGTTCATGTATAGGGTGTTTATAGTGCTATTTTTTCAGGGCTTACATGGCTTAAGAGATTTTATGGGGTATATGATATGGGCAGAGCAGGGTTTGTTTTCAGAGGGGTGGAAATGATGATCTGTTTATACAATAGGTCATTGTTGCTGAAAATGTGTATCCAGGGCGGTGAAACAAGGTCTGCAATCTTGTACCCACCTTATATTTTGTTTCTTGATCGGTCCGCGAAGGGTTGCAGGGTTTAGGGCTTGTGTTGAGGCAGAGAGTTTATAGGGGTCAGGGGGTTTTGAGGTTAGCGTGTGGGTCCCCCCCCCCTTAGCTCGGCACCTGACCTGTGGATCTGTGGTTTAGGCTTTCGGGTTTTCGGGCTGGAGGGTTTAGGGATTTATCGGGCTTCAAGGATTCAGGTTCAGAGTTTGCAAGGTTTTTGGGTGTTTTCCTTGGAGTTTACAGGGTTTGTTTCCGGGTGGGTGGGAGGGTGGGTGGGTGGGAGGGGGGTGTGGGAGGGTGGTGTGTTTTCGTCAAGGGACAGCGCAGCGCTTTGAACACATGACCTACGAGCATGAATCACGTGGGCCTGCCCGCCTTTGGTTTCATTTTGATTGTGTTCATCTTCCCGGCGCACGGTCACCTCGTTGCCTGCGTGAGACCTACAGTTCAAGCGCAATGCAAACACTGCCAGAGCTTTCAGCTTAGTTCTGAAGAGCCCAGCGACTCAACCTGTGAGAGCGGGGGGAAGCCTTGCTGGATGTAGTTTTGCGTCAACGGCCGCAGGCTACGGCGGCCATTGTGCATCTGTGTGAGCCGGAAAGTGCGCAGGGAACATGAAAGAAATCATTTAGACCTAACTTTAGGGGGGAGGTTCTTGAAGGTAGCGGAATCTAAGCTCTAAAAGCGCACCAAGCAAATCGAAGTGTGGGAGGTGGCGGGGGGATGCAACAACTGCAACACCAGCTTCCTCACGAGGTGACAATCTGAAAACACGTCAATGTCTCAGTCAACACCAAAACAAGGCCGTTTGCATGCTCTATCAATAGAAAAATATGTGTTGGAGTTCAGCTATAGCCGGTATAGCCAACCTGGCGATGTATTTAACAGCCCGAGCGCATGTCATCAGGTTTGGTGCCGTGCTAGCACTGGTTTTGGCGTTAGCATTCGCCGACCGCGCAGCTGACCTTGATGAAGTGGCGGAGCTTTGCGACTCGACATGCAATACGCATCCATGCAATTTTGCATGTTGTTAGTTGAAAATTCCGGTGCCGCCTGTTAGGAGGTGTTGTTGCTGACAGGCGAAGCAGCATTCTTTTTCAAGGACACAAAGTCGCATCCCCAGCAAAAGCAGGCTTGGAGTAAACAAAGCTTGAATCCATCGTCATAGGCAGAATCAGAAAGAACGAGGCTCTCCTACACCGTCGCCTCACAGAGCAACCTTGATGCATGGCACAAGGTGCGTTCTCACCAGCGTCAGTGCACGCCTGTGTTGTGAGACTAGACCCGGAGCAGGTTTGCCGAGAAACCTTCGAAGGCCTGGATTCCGAGGCAACTGATTGCACCCTTTCTGAGTTGCATGTCTACAAGTCTATTAGTGTTTAAAAGTGCTCTGTGACCATGGTGAAGCGTGTGATACCAGTCATCACGGGCATGGGCTCAAACACGGAACGATCCCAAGGTTGTGCAAATAAGCGGTTTATCTTTGACGGTCAAAGCTGAGAGGATGTAATTGGGTTGCCTGACGGTGAAGACATTCGACACAGCTTGATGACCACATCGCCACGCAGTCAGGGGGCATGCCAGGTGGGTCCGGAAGTTTATTTCTCCTAGGTTTCAGTGAGTCTACTGTAGAAATCTGTAGGCAGTTTTGAGGAGATCCTGGTTCAAGGTGCGGCGGCTGCGGGGCACCGATGTTTCAAACACCTGTGCCAACATGCCAAAGCTAGGTGACGTTGTTTGAAAGCTACAGCAGCTTCGCAAGACAACGTGCAAAAGCCAGCTGGTGCATTGACAGACAAACAACCAGGGCACCAACGTGGCAAAGTTGGCGTTGCCGAATGAACCTAGAACGCGAGAACGCGATTGTTTGGATGACCCGATCCATCGCCTCAGACTTGCACTATTTTTGAGGGTTGTTAGGGGCCAAGTGTAGGGGCCCTCAGTTTCTTGTGGCGTCAAGGGGATGTGCATGTCAAACGTGCGACCTTGCTACAAGCTCACGCCAGCCTCAGACACACCAAAACGGCCGCGGAACCTAGCAGTCCTAGCATTGGTCACGGTTGCCGACTTGACACTGCTTGTTGCTGGGACCCACAGGCACAGCGACTCCTGCGTGAGATGCGGTCAGCTGGCCGACATCGGAAGGACTGGAGGCTAAAGGGCGGGGAGAGGAGAGACGGCGAGATTCCGTGCCCCCTATACTTGCGGAGACTTGGGGCTGTGATTGGCATTGGCAATTTGCTTCAGGACTTGTTAGATTGGGAGATTGATGTGCCTTGGATTGCAGGAAGCTGGTACCTCAGCTAAGCGAGTCATGTTGCTTCGCCCCACCCAAGGGACGAAGCGGGGGTTGGAAGAATCGCGCGCTTGACAGCATTGCCAATGGCAGCCTCAAAGAGCAAGCTGAATTACCGGAGTTTGCAGCCTGGCACAGTCGGAGATGTTTGGCATATTGTTTGGTGTATTTTGGTGTGGATGCGCAAGCGTCGCGGAGGTTTCCTTGGACGAGATTCCATTGGCCTTCAAGGAATCCAAAGTGCTGAGATTCGACGGTTTCAAACTCCTTCCAGATACTATGTTTAATGCAACATTGACAGACATTGTGAGACTCTCGGTGAATTTGGAGGCCACTTCGCAGATGACTCTGTAGGTGTTGTAAGTAGGGGACAGCCCTCTCTCCAAGGACTACACCCGGACTCGGCCAACAGCACCGTCATGTTCGGAAGCCTGGATGCATCATAGTACATGGGAAGTGCACGGATTGAAGTGCGTGGGAAGTGCATGATGATCTGTGGAGGAACCTTCGATCTCACCGGGTCTGTTTGTCGGATCTTGCTGCTCCTTCCGGTGTCGCGCTTTTACTCGCGAATTGGTGACAAAGCGATCTTCCCTGTGCAGAACTTACTCTTCGAGAGCGGGATTTATGTGATGGCTTGTGATGGCTGTAACGTTGCTGTCATGTTGCTGGTCAGCTGGCCTGAGCCTCACGTAACGTGAGGTGATGAGGGCCGTCCTGGTGACACTTGCGCCCCTCTGCTCGGAACGTTCCGAAAGCGCTCAGACTGGGCAGGGTTCCACAGCATGCCAACATGCTCAGGAGCTTCTGCAAGCTCCAGTCGATGGATTCTTTGGTCCAGGAACCTGCGAAGCTTGCTGCCTTCGGACCGCCGTGAGTCGTGTAAGGGGCATGGAGCAGCGACACATGCTGGTAGGGTGCGCTATGCTATTCCAAGCACAGGCACAACTGCACCATTGTCATGTCGTCAGTGCTTGGAGGAAGACTGCAAACATCCAGACCAGCCCTGCTCTCTACAAAAACCTCAGTACATGTGCACTCCAATCATATGGACTCATTTTTGTCAAGTTTGTTTCGTCTCTCTAGGTCGTCATTCAAAATCATCCAAGTACTCGAAATGACTGGAACCGGGCTTGGAAGCTCCGAGCCTTCACACATTCTCCATGAAGTCATGCTCCTGACATATTACAAAGATTGAATTGAAATACTCAAGACGATATATACAACAACATGAGCAACAAATGGAAGAAACCATAAATGCAACAACGTCAAGGGGGGTTAGGTTTTAGTGTTTAAGGTTTAGGGTTTCGGGTTTAGGGCTTGGGCCCGTGGTGTGATTGGGGGGTTGGGGTTAGGATTTGGGGTTGAAGGTTTGAGAGACCGGCCTGTGCTACCCATGCACCCCCCGGTGGTGTGGGTGTGGTTTGGGGGTTAGGGTTTAGGGTTTCAGGTTTAAGGTTTAGGGGTTACATTCGTTTAGGGTTTAAGGTTTAGCCCCCCCTGCCTGTGCTGTGAATGGGGGGTTGGCATTTGAAGGTTTACTTACGGTTTAGGTTAAGGGTGTGAGGTTTAAGGTCGGCTTAAGGTTTAGGGGAGGTTTGGGGTTTGGGGGGGGGGTCAGGCGGATACCATGTGGGGGGGGGGGGGGGGGGGCCGGGGAACCCGAGACCATATATATGGTAGCATCTATACATCTACATATATTTCAGGCCTAGCGGCACGGGCCGGCCCCCGCCCCCCAAAGCACGAAACCTTGAACCTTGGCACTGTCTTCTCTTTCCCGTGTCTTTGTCCTCTCCTTCTCTCTGTCTCTCTTTCTCCTGCCTTCGCCACCCCTCCCTCCCCCCCCCCCCCCCGGCGCGCGCGCGCGCGCGCGCGCGCGCGCGCGCGCGCGCACCCGCATCAGGAGCATCAGTGGGGTTGGTTTGGGGGCCTTAAAAGCATTCTATGCATGCGTTTTGCCTTCGAAAAACCTTCAGAAAACGCTGTAAACACGTGTTTTTGGGCTTGGGAAGCCTTTTGGGACCCAGGAAAGGGAGCATCATGAGCATCAGCGGCCTCCCCCAGGCCATCCAAAACCCCCTTAAACACGCCGATTGTATGTGCTTGAACGCTTGCGTGCCCACGAAACCCCCAAAAGCAAGACCCCGGATGCCCTTAAGGGCATTCGGGGTCCTGCTGTTCGGGTGTTTTGTAGGCACGACGCCGTTCGAGCGCGTAAAATGAGCGATTTTAGGCGCGTTTTTACGTGGACCCACAAAACACTCGGTATTTACGAGGTTTTCTGCTGTTGGAACACCCCCCCAAACCGAGCATCATGAGCATCAGCTGGGTCTCTGGGCCGTCGGCCCGGACCCCCCCACGAAGCCCATGAGAAGCGATGGCTCGATGATGCGCCCGGACCCCGCGCATCAGCAGCATCAGCAGACCCCCCCCCCCACGTGGGTTTCGATGATGCGCACTTTGGGGGCGGGTCAAGGGCAACAAGGGTGGGGGTCGGAGGCACGCGTGAAAAACCTCATAAAAACACGGTATTTACGGTGATTTCAGCGTTTTTCAGCGTTTTTTACTGCCTTGGGGCCGCGGGCCAGGGCTGCTGATGCTCATGATGCTCGCCTGGTTTTGGGCTTCCGGTACCCCCCCCAAACCTTGAAAAACGTGGTTTCGGCCTGGCGCGCGCCCCATGTGAAAAGCTAGGGCCGATGATGCGCGCCCGTGAGGGTTTAATGGGGTGCTGCGGGTGTTTTGTGGCCTCGGTTTTTCGTAAAAACCCATGGTTTTTACGAGGTTTTCGTGCTTTTCGCACCACCGCGTGTTGCGTCCCCTTGGATGCCGTTTTGGAGGCCTCCCGAAGGGCCCCGCGCGAATTTGAAGCAATTTTGGGCGGGGTCGGCGGCTCGGGCGCTCGCCCCTTAAAGCTAGCGCTTTAGTGCGACGCGGGCTCCGCCCTGGACCACGGGCGGCGCGGGGGCCGGATTTAATGGCTACCGCCAGTGCCGCCGACCCCAGACCCAAGACAGTCGCATTGGGGCGGAAGGCAGGGTGGAGCGCGGGCAGGCGGGGGGGCGGGGGCGGGGGGGGGCGGTGGGGGTGGGGGGTGTGGGGGGTGACGGTAGAGGGTTGGTGTCGGATTAGGGAGTTGGGGGCGGAAGGCAGGGGTGGACTGGGGGGCATAGAGATGAAGAAGCGATGAGAGCGGTGAGAGCGGGGTCGAATGGTCCACGATGGTGGGAGGGGGTAATGATGGGGAGGGTTGGTGGGAGGGTTAGGGAGTGGGAGGGTGGGGGCGGCTGGCGGAAAGGGGGGCCTGACTCATTTGACCAGCTCTGGTGAGAGGGTTGGGGCGGAAGGCAGGGTGGAGCGCGGCGGGTGGACAGGGGAGGTGACGGTCGAGGGTTGGTGGAGTTGGGGGCGGAAGGCAGGGGAGTGATGAGAGCGGGGAGGCGGTTAGGGCGGGCGTGGATTGGAATCCCTCAAACTAGAGATTTGTCAGGGGCGGAGTAGGGGGTAGGGGCCTAGGAGGGAAGGGATGGGGGGGGTGGGGGGGGGTGGGGTTTCAGAGTCGAGGCGGGGGGGTTGAGGGCAAAGGGTTGGTGTCACTGGGGGGCATAGGGAGGGGGAGTGATGAGAGCGGTGAGAGCGGTGAGGGCGGTCAGGGCGGGCATGGACTGGAATCCTTAAAACACTAGAGATTGCAGAGGGGCGAGGCCTACAGGGTGGGGGGTGGTGGTGGGGGGGGGGGGGGGGGGGGGGGGGTGGAGGGCGAGGGGGGGGGGGTGGGGGGGGGGGCGTGGGGGGGGGGGGGGGTGGTCGGGCATGCACCGGACCCTTTAAACCACCTGAATGGATGGGGTGGGGTGGGGTCAAAGGTCCAATTCAAGGCGTCATGGGTGAGGGCGATGGGTGGCGGGGTTTGGGCATGCACTGAAGCCAAACAATGCAAAAACACCCCAATTCAAGGTGTCATGAGCAGCATGCTGTGAGAGCGGGTGAGGGCGGTGAGGGCGGTGGGGGGTCTTCACTGACGCCGCCCTGCTACCGCTGGGGTCGGCGGATACATGTATGTATCTTTGTATGTATGTATACATTTTCTATGATACCCCCAATTGAAGACAGCCACAGTCACCTATGAGTACTACTATCAATGTAGATGTGTTTTTGCATGCCTTGAGCTCGGCTTTTGAGGGCACGTTTCGATGCGGCACTTGGTATGTGCTCTGTGTGTCAGGACCCACCAACGTGAACCTGCGACGAATACCCAGGTTCGATGGAGGCCCAAGAAATTGAGAAGATATTGCAAAATGTTGCAAAGAAGTCGCCTTGGGTGGCCCGGGAGTATCCGAGGCCCTAGCCAGCTTGCCAGTGCTCCTAGCCCCTGGGTTTGTGGTGCAGGTCTCAATGTTGCGGATCGATTGGGTCTTGGAGACCTATCAACGAAGCTTGCTTGAAACCGTGCCACTTTTGTTTCGTGCTTCCGGTGGCGAGTCACTTTGCTTTGTCAAAGCTGCCACTTGCAGGAGAGGCCTGAGCCTGCTGTGGTGTGGCGTCAACCCCACTGGATGGTGGCATGCCCTCCACACGGATGTCCAGGAAGAGAACTTTTCATTGCCCTGCACGGAAAACTGACCACTCTGACAAGAACAGCGGCTGCAGGACAATGTTTTGATCGAGCTGGTCTCGGCAACAAATGTTTACATATTCCCGAGAGATTTATTCTGGAACACCCCCCTGGATGTGAACATCACGGGTGTGTACCACAAGATCAGGCAGCTGCACCGATTCGTTTGAGTTTGAGAAACCCGAACATAGCGGCGCTGTCACAGGTTAGAACCAGGACAGGGGGTTGCCATCCCCAGCAACTTCCTCCACACCGTGGAGCACTTGCAGGCCACAGCATCGGCATGAAAAGGTCTTCTAGCTGTTGCCTTGTCCAGCGTTTGCAAGGAGAACCGCTTGGCAGTCAATTACTTTTTTGAGCCTAAGTTTGGCGCAATGCAATGGCCGAATGCTCAAGACTCAGCTTCCATCGTGAGGTCTGAGAGTCTGAGAGAGGGTTTTTACGCTAGACATTTGGCACTGCTGCAACCAGGGCGAGGGTAACTATTATGCCGAGATGGCCAAGAAGGACCGAGCGCCACCTTGCTGTCAAAGGATGTACGTAGCCAGTTGTCGGGCCTTGCAGAAGATTTGCTTTTGTGCAATCTGCTTTGGTCATTCGGTTGCTGTACCAAACGGCCGAGGCACTTGGCTATGAGGTCTTTGTGGTTTGGTTCGGTTGGACAGCTATGGGACAGGTGGGTGTTTTTTTCATGGAGCATCTTGCACGAAATACGGTGACATACATGTGGGCAGGTTCAACATCGGCATTTCAATGCATCTTGGCAGTACTCGAACGGTCGATTCTGACACCCGTTTGTTGACAAGCTTCGCAGCTGGCGTGTGGCACAAGCTGAGGCATGGTTGGAAAATGGAGGTGCTTTAGACTTTAGACTCTTTCGATTTAAATGGAATTCCCATTGATACAGATGCAGACATTGGCAGCAAAGCCGCCTCTGGAGAGAATCTGCAAAGCTTGAGTGCGAGGCTCTTGCTCCTTACGAAGCGTGCCCGTTGCTGCGTCATCAGGTAGACCTGTGTCCAAAGTGAACCGGTGTGCGTGCAAAATTTCCAGAAGGAACGACTGTACAGCAGCTCCAAGGAATCACATCATTTGCACCAGGCGAAGTCTTGCCGTGTGCCCGCAAGAGTCCGGCGATCGCGGTGAAGCACTGCGCTAGCTCTGGAGCAGCTGCTGGCATCTGCACAGGTTGAATGAGGAAAGAGTCAGGCCTCAACATGGGGTGGGGGGTGAGTGGGTGGGGGGGGGGAGTTGCGGGGGGCGCAATGCGGTCCAGAGCTGTTCGGGAGGGGATTGAGGGGGTACCTGCTCTCCAAAGACCTTCGGCAGGCCTCTTGGAATGATCATTGTATTGGAAGTGGTGTGGATCACCGTTGTATACATTGTATTGCCAAGATGAATCCCAATTTCAGCTGAAGGCAATGCATAACTTACAAGAAGACCGCGTGCAGCAAGGTTCCCCCAGCAAAGGTTGATGTCCCAAGCCTCTTCTCCCCCCGTGCCGCCCCCGTGCCACCCCTGCCTCCCGATCTGCGGCGGGCTATGGCGGGCTATGGCGGGCTGCATTCTCGCACCTTTCCACTTTTCGCCTCTTCCCCTCTGCTAAACCCTTGCCGATAGGCGATAGGGTTCTCCTCTACTAGGACAGAGAATGGCACGAGCAGGTCTCTCGTTTGAGTTGAAACAATGACGTTTGAAGAGCCCTGTAAAGCACTTGCGTGTCAGGCACTGCTTCTTTGGGATCCCTCACCCAGGGACCCAGATGCTGACGTGTTCCACAGACCACATCCAGCCTGCTGTCTGCTTGTGCTGGGTGTCGAATGCAGAGCTGCTTATTGGAGATTTCCTCACGCCACGCGCCCATGCGATCTTCTCATCCGGAATTTCTTTTCGCGCAAAGACTGTTTGCTGATACTGCGGCTGCCGGCGTTCCATGCTGAATGCCTTGAACAGCTGCCCTTCTCAAGAGCAAATCTGTAGATACACACACACACACACGAACACGCAATTCAAAACAAAACCAAAGAGACAGAGAGAAAAGGAGATAGATGTATGATGTAGACATAGATGTAGATCTAGATATTTTACTCAGAGGGTTGCTTGCAAGATTCATGCACCTACGCGTTTGATCTACACTCCATCCTCTTGCCAGCAAACCCGGAGTCACTATTTGGAGGAAAGGTGAAAGTGTGGAGTACGTTGCATTTGATGGTTTGATTGTTTGGAGCATGTTGCAGCGTGATTTGGCTCAAGCTCACATGGCTTGAGAGGAGCAGGTTGCTCTGCCTATGAATGACTGCGCAAAACACCAGCAAACCCGGCAGTCCATCATGTTCAAGCAACTCTCACACATCCCCACATGTCAAAAAATGGGAAAGCCAGCTGCGCAGATTCAGGCAAGGACCGGTTGCAAGTTTGCAGCTCTGTGCCTTGCTTTGATACTTTGGATACTTCCTTTCTCCAAAGGTGACAAATGCATCAGCTTTGCCAAACTGCTTGCACAACAAGCGGGTGGTGCATGTGAAGGCAATGTCGTTGCAAGCAGTCTTGTAGTCTACGGTTTTGTTTTGGATCACCACACCGTTGAGCTTGGCGAAGGGTAGCTTCAGCTTGCCGAAATCACAGCATTTCCGTTGCAGGGACTTGGCATGGGACGCTTCCCCTCAGATGGAAACTTCTGCAGCTTTGTTGCACGCAAGATGGTGCGAACCATGCAGATTTCACCTTGCATTTGTCAGCACTGCATCTTGTGCATGATCGCCGCCCATGGCTCAACAGTCCCCTGTAAAAGTCAGGGCGGACCCAACCGCATCCATATTTGCATCCCATGCATCCCCTTCAGTGGCCTGAAAACTTCCGGGTCTCACAGCCATCAGCAAGCGCTCGTGTTGAAGAGATCAATGATGACCCGCCTCAACCAGCAGCTGCTTGTCCTTCAGGGAGACGAGAACCACAGAAGAAGGCAGCCCAGAGAAAACACAACGAAACCTTGATGGAACAAGAGGACAAAACAAGCCTGACACGAAATGATGGAGCTGGAACTGCATGCCGACGAACAGCATCGTGTGCGATGCTGAATGCTATCGTGCAGTTCGAACAAAATCAAGCCACCTTGAGTGCTCTTCGAGTTTCGTACGACCGGAATCGTGAGCTCCAACTCCAGTTTCGTGAAAACTGTAAGGAGACATGCAGTATGAAAAGGACATGTTCGCATATGTCGTGCAGAAGGAACAAGAGTCCTGATTGATTACAAAGATCGTGCGGAGGCAGCTCGACAATCAAGTAAGTGGTCAGGCGAAGGTCCTATCAACGGCGGCCCTCAATGCCAAGCTGCCACCAGCGAGTTTGCTTCCCTAATCATCATCGCATGCTACGCCGACGTCGCCCACCGACATCGTGCTGCGCGCCCCGTCTATGCGTTTGATGGTCAAGGGATATCAAGTGCAACTCAGCGGTAGAGCATGCCCGATTTCATCACCGAGAGCCAAGCCGGCACAAAGGGGGGGGGCGCTCTTCAACAGGCGGATAGGCAGCTCGTTCTTTGCAGCTCGCCCAGAAGAACCTAGCCTTGGCGAGGGAGCATTTTGCGAAGCCAAACCAGCAGCCGCCTGCGAGGGTTTAGGGTTCGCCAGCGTCAATGGCCTCGGGACAGCTTGCAAAGCCGTGATCTCGTGTGCTTCGGACCTTTTCCCCACGCGTCGGCGCAATGATTTTCGCAGAACCTTCCTCGTCGTGATTAGCGTTGACTTTGGTACTCGCAAGAGTATTCTGAAATCCATATCCACCTTAGCTTTTCCGAGCGCCCGGTGAGGGGGGTGTAGATTCTGCAGTTACTGTTGCGAGCACTGCGTCTTGTGCATGATGACTGTCCACGGCTCAAAGTCCCTTGCAGATAGCGGTGTGTGCAATCCCTTCTCGTGGATAACCTGAAAACATAACGTGAAAACACCGTCCAATCGACGAGGTTCAGACGCGAGCCTGGTCCAACTGCTATTCCAATTTCTTGGGTCTGACGGGGTGCTTGCGTGGGATGGGGACGAGTTCTCCGAGGACAACCTCTGCTGTGTACATTCTGAGTATTCTGAGTGAGGCCAAAGGCAGATCAGCAGTGTCGGAGCATTGTTGCAGAGGACAGTTTTACTCGAATCGTGGACAAGGCCTGGGATTTGGCATGTGGAGAATCAGGTAAACAGGCATCGTTCCAGCATGACCAAAAAGGGCATCATTCCAGCATGACGCTTGCATGTGTCGGCACGCACAGGGAGACCTGCCCACGTGATGCTGAAGATTATTGCACAAACCTGTCCAAAACATCCCAGTTCCTGCCACAACCAGAACCTGACAAAAGTTCTGCCTGTGGACCATCGTTAGACGTCGTTCTTTTGTGCGCAGATCACAACCTCCCAGTCGTGAACGCGTTATGGAGGTTGGGGCGAATTTTGCACCGGCAATTTGGTGACATCAATTTCAACCGCGAAATGATCGCCAGACAAGAGCCTCACACATCAGCATTGGAAAAGCAGCAACGCCGATTGCGCAAAGGCGTGACTTGACGACCCTGGTGGATGCTACTACAATCCAAAGTTGGCGCCTTGGCGCCGGTGGGTTGATGTGGGTTGATGTGGGTTGCATATTTTCGTATTGTTTGCAGAAGCCATCAAAACCAATCGTGCACTTCACAACCGATGGCATCCATGGAGCCAACAAGTACACATGTGGTCCGCTCGGCATTTTTCTTTGTGTGTTCTTTGGAAAAGATGCTGTAGTGCGCAAGCAACTTAGCATTCCGTGACCCACGGTCGTGGCCTGTTTGGATGTGTTGCCAGAAACTGCGTGCCAGCAGCATCGTCGTAACCCGAAGCAGATTGCGCATCCCGTGTTGCCCCGTAATCATTTTTACCGCACCGTTCTTCGGACAACTTGGGGCTGCGTCGCCTGGACCATGTGCCCTCTGCTGCTCGAGTGGTAGTTATGGCTCGGGCGCTGCTGCAGGAACGTCGCCGAACGCAGCCAACGCGACCCGCGGCAGTGCAGGGAACACTTCACCGAACTGAACTCATCCCCCAACGCTGCATGAGCGCTCGCACCCCGTCGGGTTGGTCAGGGCAACCATACTGCCCTGGCGGATGGCCGCCGCGACGGACGGCGACACCTCGGCTCTACCCAGCCTCTCCGCAGCTTGCGCGAGCAGGCCCGCCGTAGTTTCGTGGTTTAGCAGCACGCGGAGGTGCTCATTTGTGCAACCCGAGGGGCCTGATCCGTGCCGGCGCTACAGGAGCCCAAGCAATGTGACGCATTTCTTTCAATACCTCGTGGTTTGCACAAGGTGTCTCTGTGTTTGCGTCGTGTTCAACGAATGACCGTGACAGGCCCATCCCTGCCATCTTTGCCTTTGCCTTTGCCTTTGCCTTTGCCTTTGCCTTTGCCTTTGCCTTTGCCTTTGCCTTTGCCTTTGCCTTTGCCCGTTCGAGTCAAGCTCCGGTCCTATAAGATCTATAAGGACATGGGACAGGTTGCTGGAAAAGCGTTCGCGAACTAAAGGTATTTACTTTTCCACTGTGAACATTTCTATGTACCCAGCTCGTTTGAGCTTCCATCGACCAACATCACATGCAGCGTCAACCCACCTCACATAGTTTGGGAAGCATTGGGCTGCAAACTTTGTCAGTCGATCATCCCATTCTGCACGGGGCCGCCCGGCAACTCTAGCGGGTCGTGTCATCTTTGCCGCAAGAGATATTCACCAAACCGACAGCACAGTGCAGAAAGTGCGTCACCAGGACTGCAGCACCATTCACGAAACAGTGATGGCCATGCCGAGCTAATTACCGAAGAGCCGAGCATTTATGGCATATGACATGTGC